TTGTTCAAGCAGAGAAGCGATGATCATATTTCCTTGCTTTTATCAATCGGATCCCTCCCGGGGCCTCATCTGATGAAGGGAAAACAAGTGAAAAAATAAAAAGGAAAGTTACGCAAGTGAGAAATGCAGTCGGCTTTAGTATAGAATCGAGGACACTCGTGCCTTCATTTGCATTCCTAATCGAAATGGAGCAAATACGAGAATATATGTTTTGGTGAATGTGAGCATTTTGAACGTCCTCGTGAGATTAGAAAGAAAAAATGGGATTGCCTTTGTAGTTTCTTTCTTCAATGGAAATCGACAGCCGAAAGTGAATATAAAATGTTGATGGAACATGTACTTGTGAAAAAAAAATTTTTACAGTACGATTATCACGAAAAAGCCTCCAACTAGGTATCTACTATGAGAGTAGATTCATGATTATCCCCTGGGAGTAATTAGTGCGTGCGTTCATAAACTGTTAAAATCTGGTGAATATTTTGCATGCGACATTGTGATAACCTGATGAAAAAAAGAATGTAGAACTCTCTCACAGGCTCTGATATCTAGATATAAATATTTAAAAAAAAACTATGATGAAGGAACTGTAATCACTCGAACCAAAATCATCAGAGGATAGGATTTGGAAGGTCTCTAATGTGCATGATCACGTTTAATATTCAACCAATATTCCCTTTAGATGAAAAGAATCGACAATCAAAGCAATCCTCTTTTGCAGTGTGGAGACGGGAAAGTGGCAAAATGATATCATCACCGTGGTTAATCTCTAGCCGATATAGAAAACATCGGGGAAAGATTGAAAAAACCATGTGACCAGATGGGAATCTCTGCAATCCTTGTGGTTGAGTCACTTCATGACGTGCTGCTCCACATTAACGCTGTTTGCCACAGTTAAGACGAATTTCAGTATTCCGCTGCTTTGCTTTCTCTCATATGAACCGGTTCCTTGAAACGGATGGGCTACAAGAGTACTTTACACAATGCGACACTAATGTTTGCACTAAAGCACAAATATGTAAGCTTCCAGTGGGCAATTTGACGCAAGTACGGCGAAATTTGATTGCGTGGGGCGGTTTCCGTATTATGGCACTGACATATGACTGACTCTCATTCGTTGAAGAGGATAATTGATGGTCCTTAATACGTTCAAATCCTTCATGATCATCTCCTCCGTACCCCCAATAAGGCAGATCGGTCGACGCTGGGGACTGCCTCAAGACAACGATCTGAAACAGAAGTCGAGTGACGAAACCGTTCTTATTCGAGGACGTACCCCAAAAGATCAATTGGCCGTAGAACAGTCCCGATGTCGATCATATTGAGTATTTCAGCTGATCCTGAAATTGCAAGTCGATAAACGGAAACCATCAAGCCCGGACGACGAAGTCTTGGTCGAACGTTCGTAGCGTGAGGACGTATTGGATGATACTCTCGAGGTTCTGTCATCTAAGTCGTCACTTGGTCGTTATTCGGCTACCTTGTAGCAGTATTCATACGTTTTCTGAAAGCTATCTCCAACTTCACATTAGAACGCTATCGAACATTTTAATTATTAGCGCTTTACTCGTAGCATGGCATTCTTGTCGCTGGAGGTCTACATCAGGCCGGTGGTCTATGAGACTGCCTGTAGTAACTACGTTCATTCTGGTCATTGGTGATCTACACGCCTCACCTCTTGGATTCTTTGACCATGGACGAATCGTGTTTCCAAATTATCGACATGAGGTCTCTTCGGTGAATACCAATCGGTTCCAATCGTAGTTCCTTTGCGGAATTGCCGAATGGACGTGCGCATCTTTGTGCTTCAGTTTCAACATTGGCGTCGCACTGGGTTGTGCCCATCCGTTTGAGCTGGCGTCGTACTGGCTTGTGCCGATTTCGGTCTTGAACCAACTATTGTGCCTGTTATTTAGCCGTCGTCTCATAATTTTTTCGAATCCACTGGCAAAGTGCCTTATGTCGGCGGCGGTGATCTTGCGTGGTCGGTCACTATGGCGTCTGTTCTCCACTGTGCCATGTTCTTTGATTTATGCAATATCGTACTCCACAGTCCGAACGGGATCAATGTCAGACGAGCAATTGTGGGAGGAGATCGATGGCCATTGTCCAAAAGTGTAAAATAATACATTGCTTCGTTTTTGGCTATGTATGGATATGTAGACCTTTTCTCAACCTGTACACAGTTCACGAAAAATCAATTCTGGAATTTATAGAGATATGCTTTTAAAAAGTTGACTCATGCGAGGGACAATGACTTTTGCACCTTAGTGAATGTACAAGGTGGGCCAACAAGAATGTCATGGATAATTCATGATTTGAGAATAATGCAAGACAAACCAACATGACAAGAGGCCATTCACGCAGTATTGGCATGAATGTATATTCATTGCCCCAGCAGGAATGAGCAATCAATGAAAAATCAACAAAAATTTTGAGTTCTACAGAAATATGTAAAAAAATCGCATTGCAATAATTTTTCTCAAATCGCAACCAGCATTCGTAACTTCGCACAACGGTGGCGTCACAAGTAGATAATAACATCGTAAACGACAATTAGTCCAAGAAAGGCAAAGTGGAGTGTTTCGTGCCAAATAACATCGATGGAGAAGCGAAGGGCCACCCGTCGGGCCAACGACTCGACGAGCTCAGCCTTCATTTGTATCGGCTCCACGATGCTTTGATAATAATGAGGCACACATTGAGATTACCTTTGCATCGTAATTGTTTCTTTTTTTTGCAATATTGGTTGTGAAATGTACCTTATTTTTACGTTATAAAGTGTACCTCATGGAAACCGTTGCGATTCCTTTCATATCAATCCTCCGAGCTCACCCAGGTGTCACTTGAATTCTATTGAAATTCTCTACAAAAGGAAATAAAGGCAATCAGAATCTGTGAATAATTAAAAAAGTTGTCCAAAATTCAAATCGTTACGATTCGTTTGGAAACCCTCAACATGATTTTAATTTATTTCAGGATGTGCATTTATTGCCGGTCCAGTCCAGCAATGAATTCATTTTTTAAATGAAATCCATATTCGAATAGATAGCCATCCAAAATGTAGTATCACGTTGGTTCATGTTCATTAGCTTCAAAGTCAGACATAATTGTTCAAGCAGAGTCGCGATGATCATATTTCCTTGCTATTATCAATCGGATCCCTCCCGGGGCCTCATCTGATGAAGGGAAAACAAGTGAAAAAATAAAAAGGAAAGCTACGCAAGTGAGAAATGCTGTCGGCTTTAGTATAGAATCGAGGACACTCGTGCCTTCATTTGCATTCCTAATCGAAATGGAGCAAATACGATAAGATATGTTTTGGTGAATATGAGCATTTTGAACGTCCTCGTGAGATTAGAAAGAAAAAATGGGATTGCCTTTGTAGTTTCTTTCTTCAATGGAAATCGACAGCCGAAAGTGAATATAAAATGTTGATGGAACATGTACTTGTGAAGAAATTTTTTTTACAGTACGATTATCACGAAAAAGCCTCCAACTATGGCCTCCAACTATGGCCTCCAACTATGTATCTACTATGAGAGTAGATACATGACTATCCCCTGGGAGTAATTAGTGCGTGCGTTCATAAACTGTTATAATCTGGTGAATATTTTGCATGCGACATTGTGATAGCCTGATGAAAAAAAGAATGTAGAACTCTCTCACAGGCTCTGATATCTAGATATAAATATTTAAAAAAAACTATGATAAAGGAACTGTAATCACTCGAACCAAAATCATCAGAGGACAGGATTTGGAAGGTCTCTAATGTGCATGATCACGTTTAATATTCAACCAATACTCCCTTTAGATGAAAAGAATCGACAATCAAAGCAATCCTCTTTTGCAGTGTGGCTGCGGGGAAGTGACGAAATGATATCATCACCGTGGTTAATCTCTAGCCGATATAGAAAACATCGGGGAAAGATTGAAAAAACCATGTGACCAGATGGGAATCTCTGCAATCCTTGTGGTTGAGTCACTTCATGACGTGCTGCATTATTTCGTCTTTTATCTCTTCCAAATGGTGTCATATGAATGAACTAACATTTTCTCGCCGATCTTTGTGTCAGAATTTATGGATTGAAAAGGAGATATGCAGTTGCGAAACCGAGAGTGAAGAAGGGTCCCATTACGCAGGAATTCAAAATATATTCATTGTCCATAAACGTATGAGTACAACAGTCTCAAATATACTGTACTATCACATACATCCTGCACCACGTTATCAGCCACGTGAATCAACATACACGAAAACGTGAACTCGCAAAGCATAAAATGAAATGAAGTATAATATGAGGAAGGGAGTTAATCACATGGGAATTACCTCAAACGCAAGCATACAAATTTTGTTATTTATGTAATAAACACTAGAACTGCTAAGCGAAATATTAAGCAAATCATACACAGGAATTGGTCTATGAAACTCGTCAGACAGTTTATATGCACGATTTTGAAAGTCACAGCTTTGATCCCGAATACACTAGACGGCTTGGAGGTTTTTCAAAAGTCACAACAGATCGTGTCAAGACCGAAATTATGGAGCTTAATATCCTTTTATGAATCCAACTTTGAGAAAAAGGTTGAAGAGAGACAGAGCGTTGAAGGTGACTTCAATCTCATAATGAAAGAATCCTGAAAGAATGCAGATAAACATTTAATTAAATCTACAGTTATATCACGGATTCTTCTGAATTACTGACGATTTCCCCTCTTTAATCTACAGGAGGGCGAACGCATCTTGTGAAGCGTCCCTGGTAATTTCCAGGCGGATCGTAGCTGCTGACGACGAACCAATTGGGACCATTTCGCGCTTTTCCGATTCCCACTCGCTTGGTCTCTGTCCAGACCACCTGCGTGAAGTGTCCTGTATAGAGGGGAAAAGGGGGTTCATGCCTGACCTCATTGGTAAAAAGAAAAACATTGCTCCGGAGCACTCACCCGTTTGGTACACGAAGCTATTCCAAGAGTAATTGTGATAACAGACTTCGTCGTACCAAGCGTCTACGACCTCTTCCGCGCTGACGTTGGCCTTCCCCATGGACATGTAACAATTTTCTCCATATTGTTTTCCGTCTTTTCGACCCACGTTTCCTCGGTGCTCCAAGCGATTCCAATGTGCCAGCTGCTCAGCCCAATCCTGACTGTACTGGCAAATCTGGAGTTTGAAGGAACTTGCAGATTTGCAGTTATTAGCTTCCCATAATTCCACTATTGCGTTTATTTACATTAATTTGTATTTATTTATTTACTTTCAAGATCAACGTCATCTTCATATTATTGCTCGGTGGCCAAAACGAAAATAATATAGTAAATTTAAATTCCCTAGAGGAATCCTGTTGGTACCTCTAATAGTGGATTACATGCAAATTCCAATAATACCTCTCTGTCCATAGTCAGGGCAGGCGCACCGTGCTTCTTCCTGTAGTAATTGTGTCTTTGCAATGCCCTCCTTTCGAAGTCTGACAGGCCGTCTAGAAAATCACATAGAAGGAAAATTAACGCAAATTCTAGCGTCCTACATCTTCCGAATATGGTTCGCCTTACCATCCTCCTTCTCGGGCTCCTTGGGTTTGGTCTTTGTTTCGGGTATGGTTTTCACTGCCTGCTCCTCATTTGTTTGTTTCACTGCCAAGACCTCATATCTCGCGTAACCGTACTCTCGACCTCCATAACCGATGAAGCATCCTTTTAGGGACCTATGAATCTGGAAACCATTGAAAATGACTGTTATGAACGAAAGTTCTCAAAGGTTTCTTCGAATTCTATATTTTCTGTTGCAATACGCAGCACTTTCGTGAAACCTTTTCACCTTCCTTTGTTCAACATGTAATGATAAGGTGCTCTATTCATGCTGCTTCTATTTGGCGCACTTTAATTGCATAGTTGCCAAATTTCCAACCAACGTTTCAGATTTTTCTTGAAGGGGAGGGTAAGGGCACTAAATCACAGATCACATGAGTCCTTCCCCACTCCATTTCTGGAAGTGCGTTTATGATAAGGTAAGGATAATAGGAATGGAAATGGCAAAAAAAAGTTTGTACATGGTTTTACTTAGAATTTTTTCAAAGGAAAAATTCGTGATGACTGAGCGTTTCATTCATTTTCAAATCCGTGAAATGGTAAGGTTTGAAATTATAATATCTCCCCCCTCCCAACTGTTACTATTTTCTTTAATTTTTCGCTTTCTTCAATTTTTTTTGGCACTGTCAATGGACAACTGATAAAATATTCGTAATTTCATATAAATGAAGCGGCTGGAATTTCGGGCCTGCTCAATGTGGCATTTTCACATCTGGAAGAAAGAAAAATTGGTTTTTAGTCATCAAAGTTTGATGTTAATTTATCGTTATGTGCGGAAATGCTTTAACGATGCACGCTCATAGCCTTTGAAGGAGCATGTGGCTGCACGTTTTTCAAATAGTAACCTTCGGGTCAGATAGGAAATTTTACCAATTCATCAGCTTCATCCAAAATATGTTCCACATGCCTTAAATATTGAGGAGTCATTAGTTTTTTTTCTCTTCAACTGAGCTTTCGCTAAAAGATATCTCTCTTTCCCCACGTTAACCTTTCTATTCTATTCCCATTTTAGGTACACCATTTACGTTCAGGTCACCCTGACCCGATATACGTTTCCTATGGTTTGAATAGGAATTCGCTTGAGTTTTTTTGCTGCTTCGTGATTTCTTATATCAAAAGGATCGATCACACATGTGTTCATTATTTTATTAGCTATGTTTGCATACCTAATTATTGTTAACACTGAGTTAATTCTAAAATGTTGCAACAAAAACGGATTTCCAAAATTGTCAATTGGGACAAACCGTTATCCATTATTGACTATGCAAGGCACATAAACCTAATTGTGCTCAAATTACAAATATTTTTTCCACACGACATACTTGTTTTTTTGTCATATGCGGAGGGACAAAAAGTACATCCTGCTCTTCTTTGCTGAATGTTGCACTCAGTCCTAAATTGGCAGTCGCGCAGAAATGACGATGGTAGCAGAGGACGGTATTCGTGTAAAATATTCTCTTGTCTCTAGCAATGGGCAAAATAATTGCATGCCAAATTCTACCAGGAACAATCTTCTTTTGAAGAGCTTGTTCTAGTGCCATCCCGGATTTATTGCAGTCCACAGCTCATATGCGTTGTAGGCCGAGGCGTCCAACATATATGTACTGGCACCCAAAATAAATGTTACAAGGTAATGTATGACTCGCCCACATAGTAGGAGTTGTGATGGCATTACATCTGTATGTTGCTGAACGAGTTAACACCTCTTCAACATTATTAACATGTGCTCGCTAACCTTTGAGTGCTGTGCATGTGCCACGTCAGGAAAATGTCTAATTAGGTTTTCTCCATGTCTTATGTAAAGTTCAGATTCCCATAGACAAAAAAGAGTTGATTCCATCATGTATTTCATACCGTCTCTGAAAAACATGAGAGATATGCCAAGGCAAATGCAGCAACAAAAGGACGGAGAGGAGAAAATTCTCCAAGGGGGTGCAATGCAGCAAGAAGTCACGCGGCGACCCGGATGGGCACGTGTAGCCTCAACCATATTGAATTTTCCCAAAACTGGCAGAACACTGGACTTTGAGAATCACTACATTTCTCAACAGCAAGTGCTGCGGAAGCTTGTTCTAAGAAGGTTCAAGATGGTGTAACCCGTGTTGAAAATGCAATAGTATGGCAATCGGGTCAAATACACCCAAGCATAACATGAGGGGGTATCACAAATATTTCAGTAATGCTTTATGGAAATGAGTTCGGCTTTGAGGTCGTAAATATATTCGAAAAGTTAGGAAAAGTAAAAAAAATTCAGATTTTTTAGATGAAATACATCGAAGTTACATCGGTTTGAATGAGTGTTTCGGGTCAAATAGACCCGAACAGAATAGGAAGGTTAATAATGAAAAATAAATTTAAAAAATGAATTAATTAATCATATTGTAATGGAAAGAAAATCGATTACACATGCCTTGCCACAGGTGAGGGTGTTTTCTTGCTTACATCTCCCGATGTACAACGGTTCATCCGTGGCTGTTTCTCCACCCTGCAAGGCTCCAGACGGGATGGAACCGTCTGATCCTTCAAGCCAGACCAACTTCTCCAGATCATCAGACACCAGAACCTATTACAAAGATATGAATCGATAATGTAATGAAATAGGACCAGTGAAAGCCATCATAGGGGAGAAAAAGGTTGAAAATAAATGTTCAAAAAGAGTCATTACCCTCTACTGGCGTTTGTACGAAATTCAGACAATGTATTTATCAGATTTCAGTGAGATTTGGTTCAAAGTTTTTACAAGTTGAGCGCACAGTCCTGCGAAATTTTATTTGCAAGGATTACCTATAATGCGGCACAGGTGCCTAATCACGATGTTTTAGGAGTCGATATTGGTTAGAAACAAAGATGCAACGGATATATGGAGAGGTTGGACAAGAGAATAGTCTCTAAAGACTGAGGACGATATTGTGACAAATCTTCACTATGAGCATGATTGAGATATCAACCAGATGGTCGGGTATCTTTGAGTCAATAGGAAAATGGTGTCTCGGTTTTTTTCATTCATTTAAAAATTTTGGCTCAGCCCACCACTTCATCACTGATCAAGGCATGCGTTACACGCAATATTTATGGAACCTCAACTCACTTCATAATTGCTCTTGGAGTGTTCTTCACAGCCCCACGGAACGTAGCAAACACGATGGGAAGGTACTAACTTTCCAGGTAGCATATCACCTGCATGTTCTGCTCTCGCCACATAGACAGTTTCTCCATCATACTCCCCGCCCACAACAGCTCCACCAGGGACCTCGCCTCCACTTGCCTCCACCCATCGCGCTGGTTCCTTGCACGCATCTATGAGCAAAATGATGAAGGCTTATCATTTACAGCCTTGATTTTTCGTCGATACCGTCTCATTGAATTGCCAAACAATTAGAAAACATTTAGCCATTTTTTGGTGTTACTTCTTGAAAGTTGAACATTGCATTGTTTCTAGGTTCGATTTCTATTCAATCCATCCCGCCTTTTCTTTGGAAAGTCCCTCTAATTGTCGCTTCCATTATTGTGAATTAAAATTCACTTCATGATTTTGCAAGTCGATTTGAATTTGTAAATTAAGGAAATAAAAATAATTTACACTTATGAAATGTCGAAATTTGTAAAAAGGCCCAAGGAGATTCTGAATCATGAGAAATTCCATCTATACTTTCTAAAATGGATTTTCACTACTATCGGATTGTGATAAATGAGTTCTTAGCAACTCAAAGACCATAGAGAAAGACGTCATGTGTAAAACTAAGAAAATAACATTTGAAATTCTCCTCAGTTTGGATGTGCCTTCCCAGAACAACATGGACTTTTGGTCGGCATATTTATAGACCATCGTAACTAAATCACTTTGTGATTGCTGAGTAGCGATATTTCGTGTCATGTACTAGATAAGGTTGAAATATTAACCTTGGTACAGGAGTAGGTGAACAAATTCCAATCAGATTGAGAGAAATTGGTTTTCACCTACATGCCCTAGAGGGACATTTTCTTGGAAAGCCGTTGTGGAAATGTTTTCGCTTCATCCGAACAGGGTGATGTAGAAAATGAAAACTGATGCAAACTTGCCTGTGCAGATGAAGATTCCCGAATCAATCTCACTTTTAAGGCATGTCCTCATAGGGCTTTTTTTCCCCCCATGGTCTCGTTTTACAAGAATCAAACTTTTCAAGATTTCGGTTTGAAACAAGTAAATGAAGTTTCATGCATTAATGGTGATAGAGAAAGACTACCGTTTTCTATCAGAGAAACACCCTTTTATAAATGCGAAAGAATTACAATGCCAACGCCATGGACGTTCGGGGACTAAAAGGTTTTATTCGAAAGGCAGGGCATGTTTTCTTCAGCCCCCGTGCCTAAGTCGTGCAATGCCCATTTAGAGGTGACTTAAAGTTGCTTAGAAGTGGATTATTCCACCTTAAGAGTGGTAATGGTTTGCACTCGACTGTCTTAGAAATTAATTAATTTTGTCAAACGGTTGGATTGTTTTAGAATGGCCCACGAACAAAAAATAAGTGTGCAAGAAGGGAAGTCAATTTTAATTCGATAACGTTGGGTATAGGGGTTGGGGGCACCAAATGGTCTCCGATTCCCATGTGGTAATTTCCCAGCAATACTATTAATTGGTCCCCCCCCCCCCCCCCTATTTTGATTTGCTATAACCTTTCTAGGGGCAGTTGGATGAACCTGATTCTTGACAGAGGGCTTAATGAGTCTAAGGATTTTTTACATCCGGAAGATGATGCTGTATGCCGTTAGTGGGCGCTGTTGTTGGGTGGAGGGTTCTCAATCTTCGTGCTATGGCTATTTTTATTAGGAAAATAAGGATCTTTTTCCTCAAACTGTATCGGACGGATTTAATTCTCCCATTTAAGGGCTGACAGCTGGATTTTTTCTACGAAGCTCGTAAACGCTCACTAGTTGAATAATGCAATTGTTCTTTTTAAAAAAATCGCGTAACAATCACATCACTTGTTTGGATTAGAACCCTCCCCAAGGGCCAAGAAGTGTTCGTTCATTCGACAGACGTGTGTCGCGTTGGATATAATAAACATTCGTATGATAGAGGTTACATTTTGCACGAGCCTCTCTACCGAGAATCTATTGCTACCATTTTTGCTCGAATATACGAATGTTACATTCTCCCATAGATAAACATAGAACACTTTTTTAAATCACCCTTTAGATAGTTGGTACTCAGGACTTAAAGAACATTTAACAATGACAGAACAATTTTCTGGAGCCGTTTCCCAGGGTTTTCATTTCTGGTTGGCATTCCTGGAATGTCCTGGGATGCAGCAGTCTCACAGCAAATTTCGATGGTGCGTTTTGCTAAATAATCATAATTTAAAGAGTAACCATATTGGACCGATACCCATTAGGAGGCCATTCCAAAAATGTTTGCATTACAGAGTATGAACATCATCTGGGAAGACAAATCTTAGCCTTAAAACCACATTTCACCAACTTGCCCTTTAGGCAAATTTTTGGTGCAGATTCATTTTCCCATTGACATGTTTAAAAATGAAAAAAAAGGCAAAATGCAGGAATCTTTGCCTTATCCACATAGGAATGTGCTGGTTGCGCATTCTTGGATATATGAATTGGCCGAAGTGTCCCCATTTTTAACCCCCACTTTTATATTCGCTACGTCCGAAATACTGGTTTTTATTTCAAGTAGGTAGAAACGAAATAAATTATTCGCGTCCTTTTGCTTCCCAAAGACCAGCCCGAACTGTGAGCTCACCTAACAGGCGATCGGCACGGTCAACGATTGGTGACCGTGCCGATCATCGGTCACCGGTCACCTGTCTACCGGGGGTGCGGGAGGAGTTTGTGTTCCGGTTCGACATCGGTCATATCCCCATTGAAAGCAATATTAAAAAAGCGTGAACTATGGAAGTATTCCACAACGTTTATTTTCCCCTCTGTGCCTCCAGGTTTTATTGATCAATGATCTCCCTTCCCCGAAGAACTCCGTTGCAACATTTCGGAGGGTAAAATAGGAAGGAAGGAACAAAAAAATAACAGGTACCTTCCCCGCATTCCTTCTGATCCGTGTTTCAACCTGTGGCAATATTGTCATTCAGATACTTTTCATTCCAAAGTCCAACATGCCTTTGGGAGGAGAGCACTCTGGTGAAATTCGCCCAAATTCCAGCCTCTTGTATCACACGAATGAGGTTAGCCTTACCCTCTTCATTGTCGGATTCCTGAGATTCCGACTCTTCCTCTGACTCCTGGGATTTCGAATCCTCCTCTGATTTCTTGTTGGAGTAGGTTCTGTCTTTTGGCTTATAAGGCTGCGCGTGAATGGTCAATTTAATCTCTATGTCCTTTTCTAAGTTGAAGTACTCGGGCCTGAATTCCTTCAAGAGACAACCTTTCCTCGTGCCTGGAAGAAAAGCAACTGAAGTTCAAAAGAATGGCCGAGAAGTATAACATGATGAAAAGCGTTTATCATGTAGGCATTAAACTTGCCATCCTCCAAAGTTGCATCCACCTTAAATACATCGTGGTCGTCTCCTATAGCAAATGGTAATGCATTGAGTGAGATAGATTTGACTTTCCCGTCGCCGGAAGTATCCATTTCTGTTATTTTACGCAGGACGCACTGGTAGCAGGCATCGTATTCAATTATGCATGTTGGACAATACACTCGGTCCCCCACATATTTCTCTCTGCATTCGCTGCAAATGTAACTGACATAGGCCAATGTGTGTTCATGTTCTGGCTTATGGTCAACCGCTTCAATGCAGGAATTGCAATGATCGAAATCGCACTCGTTGCAGCAACGCCACCTGCCACCATTGGATTTGAAGCTTTCCTTGCAGCGATCGCATACCCAATTAGAAGTATAGGGGGGAAAGTCGATCGACATCACCGCATGCCCCTTAGGGCAAGACATATCGCTCCCCATTCCGGACGAATCCCTGGACGAGACGGTCTAATACACGTGAAAGGTTCCCAAGTTCAGCTTACTCGACGCCCTGGGTGAAGTTTACAGGAGCGCCACACACTGGGTTAAAACACCGATTGATCCACACGACTGACTGGTGATACGACTGAAGATAAAAGAAGAGAACGTCCAACTGGCAATCTCGTTGATAAGCAAAGACGCTATATCGTGAGTGGAGCTTATAAATGCTTTTTCCCGCAAGTGCAGAAATAATTTTATTCCCTTGCGTTTCCCGAGAGGAAGATGATGCTTCATCCATTGGCCCACCCTCACATGGTTTGCTCATATGGTTTTTAGTTTGCGGAGTCTCGTATTCATCGTTATGGATCGCCGACACAGACAACCTGCACTCTCGTGGACAGGAGGAATTTCCTTTCGAGTAGGTAATGCAGCTTTTGAATCGAATGCACCTGCCATGATCTCAACAAATTCATCAAGAGGCGACTTCAAGTCCCCGTTGCATTTTGGAAAAGAGATGTAGTGGTTTAATCTTGTCTTAGCCCTCGAATTCGATGAACGTCGTCCTAAAAGATAGCCAATGGCCTTTCCAACGAATTGCAGGCAACTTTTCAAAAAAATTGTTTGCGTCTAGTTATGAATTTTCCTAGTGTCAAGACTTTCTCGCAGTTATTTCCTCGAAGTACCACACTTTTCGAAATATCAGTAGATTATACTCATTTGGCAGGCTTTCTCCCTCTTCACGTGCTTTCACAGGTAAACATGAACGATATCTGCTGTCCTCTCGAGCACCACTTCACGGGCTTCGTAATCTCTGCGAGGTGTGCTGCCGGGCTGCGGGGAGAAAAGCTCTCTCCCTCTGCGAGATTTCCCGCGGCAGGAAGTCTCGCAAATGGATTCCAGATGGGACGTTCTGATTTCCTGCAATCATAAGGTGGTTGCTGGAACTTCTCAAGTTCGGTATTTGAAATTCCAATCTCTCTCCCTCTGCGAGATTTCCCGCGGCAGGAAGTCTCGCAAATGGATTCCAGATGGGACGTTCTGATTTCCTGGAATCACAAGGTGGTTGCTGGAACTTCTCAAGTTCGGTATTTGAAATTCCAATCAAATTAGGAATACGTTCATGTATGACGCTTCAACTCAATACATGACATTCTTCTTGGGCATAATGAGTTCTGGGTCATTGCACATGATCAAAATAATCTCGACACCGGCATCGCGAGCTCCTTCGAAACATGATAGTATGAATGCGATCGAGAAATATTCATCGTCGTATGAAGTCAGAAGCAGCAAAGCGGGATTTTGATCAAATCAAATCGAAGAGGGATTCCAACGACATCCATTTTTCCAGCTCATTTACGAGATGGACAAAAGTAAATTGGGTTATCTTCATCAGTCCACAGCATTAGTCACCAAGAGATTGAAAAAATCGCAGTTGCGGCTTCATATGGGATAATCATTCGGCTTTACAGTGATATTAACAGGACGAAAATTTGGGGCATGACTTTCAAATAATTGGAGACTTAAAGAGGGGGCGAGAAAGAGCCTAAGAAAAGCGATTTCGTTCCCAGTATGTCACGGTATGATGGTATGTCACGGTTCGGTTTGTCGTGCATTCCCAGCGTGCGATTTGC